GAGAGAAAGCCTCGAGATGGCTCCGGGTACTCAGGGCAGTGGGACAAGTTCGAGTTTCGAGAATCTGAGCTGCCAATAATAGAGAGTACTTCTGGGATTCTAATTAAGCACACAGAGAGGTTCTGTGCGGCCCGAAAGGACTTCTTAGATCGTTTCTTCGCCAGCTCTCGGGAAGAGCAATCCGCGATGAGTGTGGAGTGGAACGCCAATGATGGAGCTTCCCTCAATAGTGTGGCCAATGATCTCCTTGAGGACTTGACCACTTTCATCTCGGTCGCGAAGGACATCAATAAATCGGAGCTGGGAGAGCTGGCCGCCCCCCCCGTCCTCTCTACGCCGCGTGGACTACGCGCTAGACTGCTAGAAGAACTCTGCCTCAGTATGGCCCCTGGTGAAGGAGCAACGACGGAGTCGCCCGGTGAAGACGCGAATATCTGCCGGATGGTAGCTGAGGGAGCACCAATTGGCATCTTGATCCCGGTTTGAGTAAATGCGGAATGGCCAGCAATCGATACTGACAACTTTGGCAAACCAAAGAAGGATGAGCCGTCCTTCGTGCGGTGGCCTGGCGAAAAACTCGAGGAGCTGAGGCTACGCGACTGGCCGCAGGGCAGCATTCCTCCAGATATGTATAGGCTGTTCGAAGAGCTCATAGCGAAGGAGCTTCGGCTAGGCCGGTTATCAGAGATTAATTCGACGAGTCCAGACTGCAAGGCGTTGTCGAAAGTTCATGTGATGTGGAAAAACGGGAAGGAATTTAAAGCCATCCGACAATTGGACGACTTCAGGAGGAGTGGTATCAATATTACCGTACGTACTGGAGCTCTATTCGAAAGCAAAGGCGAAGACGGTACTGTCCGTGAACTGAAAACAACCCGCTGTCTTCCTAGGTTCCGGGATGTTTACGATCTATTGGCTAATGTCCCGCGACCAACACCTAGTGTTGGAGATGAGGATAGCCAAGTTTGGTTGTTAGAATGGGACATAGTATCAGCGTTCAGATTGATTAGTGTGGAATCGAGCGAACGCGGATTCCTATGCTCTCTGGACCCTCGGGA